TGTGGCTGACATGTAACTGACATGTGATTGACATGTAACTGACATGTGTTTGACATGTAACTGACAGGTGGCTGACATGTGACTAACAGGTGGCTGACATGTGACTGACATGTAACTGACAGGTGGCTGACATGTGACTAACAGGTGGCTGACATGTGACTGACATGTAACTGACAGGTGACTGACATGTAACTGGCAGATGACTGACATGTGGCTGACATGTAACTGACATGTGGCTGACATGTGACTGACATGTGACTGACATGTAACTGACATGTGGCTGACATGTAACTGACAGGTGACTGACATGTAACTGACATGTGACTGACATGTGGCTGACATGTAACTGACAGGTGACTGACATGTAACTGACATGTGACTGACATGTAACTGACATGTGGCTGACATGTAACTGACAGGTGACTGACATGTAACTGACATGTGACTGACAGGTGGACTCACCTGCTCATTTCTAAATATTAAAGGACTCATTTGACACGAATGATTTTGGTCGTTATTGTTACATTTAAGTTATTTATAGACATTGGTTGATTGACATACATCAGGAGAGGAGGAGAAGAGTTAAACCGTCCCACGTGATACGACTCGACCAATCGAGGCTTTGCATCCCAGGCAGGACGATGACATCGTCTCAATACTGCAGACAGATGAGAGAGGTACCGTCTGTCCAATCAGAAGGGTCCGCGTGCTATAAGGCCCTCCCCTTTCCGTAAGAAGTTAATGTCGCTGTGATTTGAACTTCAGGGCCACCGTATTATTCTCCAACTTAACAAAAAAGTGGATATAATATATATATATAATATATATACACATATATATATACTATTAAACTGTTCAACTGTCCTCTTACGCTCCGTGTCGGTGTGATCCGGTGCCATGACAGCCGCCATGCGAGCATCGGAGAGGAGACGGAGTAAATATAAACGACCTGCTGGAGTTTCAATCTCTTCTCTCCTCTTCTTCTGCTTCTGTCTCTGCTGCCAAAAGCTCTTTCTACCAAATCAGTGCTCGATCGCCACTGACTCAGTTTTCACGTGGATTCCACCAACGTTTTCTTCTGATTTGTTCTTAGGTGAGACCAGCACAGGATTAGGATTCATCATTCTAAGAGATGTAACAATAACTTAGGAAGATATTGTTGTTGTTATCGTTTATGGAATCGTTTTCTTTTTGTAAATGATTGTCACAGACACACTGAAGTCCTCGTCTCACCTGTCGGTCTCTCCTGTAGAAGAGTTGCTGTCACGTCCTCCTTCATCTTTAAATGTCTCCTTTACTTCCTGTTGATGATTGAGAGCTCCTCTTGTCGTCTGATTGGATGAGGCAGACGTTTCAAAGACCTCCTTTTGGTGAAGACTATAATTACTCCTCCGGGCGTCGGTTTGAGTCCCGGCGGACCGACTGATTGACAGCTTTATTCTTAGCTCTTCCTGAGGACAGGAAGCGAGCAGGAAGGACAGTTTGGTCTCCTGCAGAGCCTGTGAGCAAGGCAGCAGGTAGACCTTTCACTCAGTGTCTCTCCATCAGGAACATACGTGGCAATAAATGGCTTCTGGTTATGAACAAAGACCCCGGTCCCGTTTTAACCAATGGGTCCATTGATCCCATGTTAATAATGGAAATGGCTCAATGACAATGCTTCTATGATACTGGTAACAACAGTTCATGATTCAGTCATGATGCTAATAAGGATCATTTTTCACTGACAGTATTCATTATGTTAATCCATCACTAATAATGTTAATGTTACAATAATAATGTTAATCCATCACTAATAATGTTAATGTTACAATAATAATGTTAATGTTACAATAATAATGTTAATCCATCACTAATAATGTTAATGTTACAATAATAATGTTAATGTAACAATAATAATGTTAATGTTACAATAATAATGTTAATGTTTTACAATAATAATGTTAATCCATCACTAATAATGTTAATGTTACAATAATAATGTCAATGGAACAATAATAATGTTAATGGAACGATAATAATGTTAATGTTACAATAATAATGTTAATAATGTTATTGTACGTCGCTTTGGATAAAAGCGTCAGCTAAATGACATGTAATGTAATGTAATGTAATGTAATAATAATGTTAATGTTACAATAATAATGTTAATGGAACGATAATAATGTTAATGTTACTGGAACGATAATAATGTTAATGTAACAATAATAATGTTAAAGGAACAATAATAATGTTAATGTTACAATAATAATGTTAATGTTACTGGAACGATAATAATGTTAATGTAACAATAATAATGTTAAAGGAACAATAATAATGTTCATGTTACAATAATAATGTTAATGTTAATGGAACGATAATAATGTTAATGTAACAATAATAATGTTAATGGCCAATAATAATGTTAATGTTACAATAATAATGTTAATGTTACAATAATAATGTTAATGGAACGATAATAATGTTAATGTTACAATAATAATGTTTATGTTAATGGAACGATAATAATGTTAATGTAACAATAATAATGTTAAAGGAACAATAATAATGTTAATGTTAATTGCCAATAATAATGTTAATGTTACAATAATAATGTTAAAGGAACAATAATAATGTTAATGTTAATGGCCAATAATAATGTTAATGTTACAATAATAATGTTAATGGAACAATAATAATGTGAATGGAACAATAATAATGTGAATGCATCATAAATAGGACATGCAACCTCTGCGCATGTCCACAAAGCCCAGCTGTGAAGGAGGCGGGGCTTCCATCATATACCGGAAGTAGCCACACGCGTGCTGGTTTGTTCTCTCAGAGTTTCGCGGTGAGTGAACTTCTTATTTTTCTCTGTATCAAAATGAAGCAGTGTGTGTTAGCATGAGGCTAGCATGAGCTAGTTTGTGTGCACGCGAGGACCTGGTCAATCCTCTCTTACGTCACGTTCGTCGGGAGCTAACGATGCTAACCGGTTAGCCGCAGGGTGAGTTGGTCCCTCCGCGTGGCGCCGAGCGGATTTAACGCGTGTTCTCCTGTGAGACGGAGGAACAGCGTGACCACGACCCCGCAGAGGACCCGTTGGACCCGGACACGTCCCCGGACACGTCCCCGGACACGTCCCCGGACACGTCCCCGGGTCTGTCCCCGGGTCTGTCCCCGGGCCTGTCCCCGGGCCGACTGTTGTTTAGCTCGCATCAGAGGAATAAATGCATTTTGTTCGTCATCACGTAACGTCTTAGACGTTACAGTCACGTGCTTTGTCTGTTTGGGATGAACCTCCACGCGGGTATTGGTTTCGGTCTCGGCTCATACATGAGCATAATCAATCAATATATAACTCGTGAAGTTATTTACAGCAAATCCACCCTGTCTACTGTGATCAGGTGTGCAGATGATGGCATCAGCAGAGGACCAGCTGTGTCTGAACATCTGCAGCAGCGTCACCGTCTCCTCCAGGAAGAAACCACTGACGACTCAGCAGAGATGGGCCAGAGTGAGTGATCATTAATGTGATCCTCAGTGGGTGATCAATAATGTGATCATCAGTGGGTGATCAATAATGTGATCCTCAGTGGGTGATCAATAATCATCCTTTCTGTTGGACCTTCAGAAGAAGCAGTGGGCAGAGAAGAGGAGGATGGATCTCTCAGAAGAGGAGAAGGTGATCAGCTCCTCCAAACAGAGGAGGCGGGAGGAGGAGGAGGAGGAGGAAGAGGAGGAGGAGGAGGAGGAGGTCACTCAGGTAAACTCACCCGTCTCACCTTCCTATCAGCGGCTCTCTGATCAGCTCACTAACAAACTACCGTCATTACATCATAAAAGAAGAAATGTGTTGGAAATGAGAAGCAGAAGAGGACATAAATCCAGATGTTTGACGCCGATGATGATGATGATGATGATGATGTTTGTTGTCACGGTGATGATGCCTACAGACTGACCAGAGGAAACCACAGAAGAAGAAGAAGAAGAAGAGGGAGGTGGTCACGACGACGGAGACAAGGATCATCAAGACTTCTTCTCTATTCAGACACAACCCGGAAATCCCTGACATCCTCAGGTACTGCTCTGTGATTGGTCCACAGCCCAGTGACATCATACCCGGCTCACTGATGAGTCACTAATCCAGGGCTGCAACTAACGATCAGTATGATAATCGATTAATCGGTCGATTTTTTCTACGATTCATCGATGAATCGAATACAAAAAAAACGGCATTAAAAAGCTTTTCAACCCTTTATTCTAAAACAGAACTGCAAATTCACACTGCAAAAATACTCCAGAAAGTACATGAAGCTCCTTGAACATAATCATTTATTAAAAAAAATACAAATCAGAAAATTTAACAGGATTTGTTTTACCGTCAGAACTTGTTCTCTCTACTACACTCACAAACACGCCCCATGTTCACTTGTTCATTAAATTATTACCATCATTGTAGTGCAAGTAAATTTATACAGCTAAAAACAACCACGTGCTGGGAGATGAATTTAAAATGGCATTTGTAAATAAATGCGATATTTTAATGGGTCACCGTGTTTCCCTTTACAGGCGTAACATCAACTACCGTATAACACACAGTATGTGCGCACTAGACTACCGTATAACACACAGTATGTGCGCACTAGACTACCGTATAACACACAGTATGTGCGCACTAGACTACCGTATAACACACAGTATGTGCGCACTAGACTACGTATAATACACAGTATGTGCGCACTAGACTACCGTATAACACACAGTGTGTGCGCACTAGACTACCGTATAACACACAGTGTGTGCGCACTAGACTACCGTATAACACACAGTGTGTGCGCACTAGACTACCGTATAACACACAGTGTGTGCGCACTAGACTACCGTATAACACACAGTATGTGCGCACTAGACTACCGTATATGACAGCATTAACAAGCACAACATACACAGATATTTTCGTCAACAATAACTGATATGGGACAAAGCACGAAATATACACAAGACAACACATTGAAAATTAATGGTCCAAAAGAGGCGAGTAAATAAAAACGTGTCTTAGTCTTGCTAGCTGCTTTACTGCTGTTATTAGCGAGCTAACGCTAGCTTGACCAGCTGGATGACGAACAGGAGGCTCGTCGCGTCCCTCACGTCCAAACGGGACAACGTGGTTCCGTACTACGTTACGTCGACTTTGCATATTTAGCCGTTGACGCGCCCTCACGTTTTACGCGTGAGCGTCACTCATCTCGGTCCTCGGTAACGCGCTCCGCCACACGTCCAATTTCTCACGCTAAAAAAACAAATCTGACTTCGGTTCCTCTTCAACCTCCCCGTCTGCGTCACGTGACTCACAGCTGCTCGTTGCTCTACGTCGACTCGCCGCTTTTATTTATCATTTTTGCTCCGCAACTCATTGAGTGACGTAATAATCGCGCGACACAAAGAATCGCTAATGGGATTCGTTGCCAACGCTTTTAATAATCTGATTTGATTGATTTCATCGATTTATTGTTGTACACTAATCACCTGTCGCCTCCTCCATTCAGACCAGTGGTCTCCCAGTTAAAGGAGCAGATCTTCACCAGTGACTCATTTTCAGACCTGGACCTTCATCCACACCTGGTAACACACACACGTGCACACAGACACACACAGACACACAATCATACGTACGTTTGTGTTCGGCCGCGTCAGTTAGACGGAGACGCTTTCTGCTTTGGAAGTGAAACAAACAGAAGAACTGAGAGGAATTCCTCCGTGTCCGGGGACGAGTGGCAAACGCTCCACTATGCTAAGCTAAGCTAGCTGCTAGGCTAAGCTAGCTGCTAGGCTACTTCCATCTCAACATCTACCTGCAGAGGACCACTGTGTCCCTAAAGGACCTGGTTTGAAAACGTCCTGAATGTGGGACATTGTTGGACTTCAAACACGTTAAATGATGGAGAGCAAAGAGCACGAGGACGACAGGAAGAGTCGCAGTTCAACGTGTTCCACCTGCAACACGATCACACGAGTGAAGCTCGTGTTTAAAATAACGTTAAACGGTGTCTGAAATAGATTCTTTCTAAAGTGATTACTCGTTACCTTTAAGATGAAAAGACGAGCCGATGGGTCGTCGTCATTCATTCATTCATCGAGATTAATGACTTTCAACATGTGCGATCAACTAGTTAATTATTCGTAATTAATACTCTAGTTACAACCACAAAGTTGGATCCAAAGTTGTCGTGTGCATGTCAGTGAGTCATTGTGACAGCTGATTAGTGGTCTGTGCTGTGATTGGCTGGTTTCTGTCCATCAGGTGGCGACACTCAACAAAGTGCTGAATGTTTCCACAGTGACCAGGTCAGTACACACACACACACACACACACACACCGGTCGTCGTAGTAACTTTAACGTGTGTGTGTGTGTGTGTGTAGTGTTCAGAAACGCACGATTCCGGTCCTTCTGTCGGGACGAGACGCAGTGGTTCGTTCTCAGACAGGTTCAGGTGAGAATGGTCTTGTGGTACCGTCGCACTACTAGTAGTACTGTAGTACTAGTGACCTGGAAGTACTACTAGCTCTGTCTCTCGTGTCTCTGCAGGTAAGACACTGTCCTACGCCGTCCCGCTGGTCCAGAGTCTGCAGGCGGCCCAACAGAAGGTCAAAAGGTCAGACGGTCCGCTGGCCGTCGTCATTGTCCCCACTAGAGAGGTCTGAGCTCACACTTTGATCCAACAAGTCGCCCGCTAGTGGTTTCCCCGCTCCATGCTAATGCTTAATGAACGTTAATGCTAACGCTTCATGCTAACGCTTAATGAACGTTAATGCTAAGGCTTAATGCTAATGCTTCATGCTAACGCTTAATGAACGTTAATGCTAAGGCTTAATGCTAATGTTACATGCTAACGCTTAATGAACGTTAATGCTAACGCTTAATGAACGTCAATGCTAACGCTTCATGCTAACGCTTAATGAACGTCAATGCTAACGCTTAATGAACGTTAATGCTAAGGCTTTATGCTAATGCTTCATGCTAACGCTTAATGAACGTTAATGCTAACGCTTAATGAACGTCAATGCTAAGGCTTAATGCTAATGCTTCATGCTAACGCTTAATGAACGTTAATGCTAAGGCTTTATGCTAATGCTTCATGCTAACGCTTAATGAACGTTAATGCTAACGCTTAATGAACGTTAATGCTAAGGCTTAATGCTAATGCTTCATGCTAACGCTTAATGAACGTTAATGCTAAGGCTTAATGCTAATGCTCCATGCTAACGCTTAATGAACGTTAATGCTAACGCTTAATGAACGTCAATGCTAACGCTTCATGCTAACGCTTAATGAACGTCAATGCTAACGCTTCATGCTAACGCTTAATGAACGTCAATGCTAACGCTTCATGCTAACGCTTAATAAACGTCAATGCTAACGCTTCATGCTAACGCTTAATGAACGTTAATGTAAATTTATATCTCAAACTGTCTCTGTGTCTCTGTCCCTGTGGGTCCGGGTCTCAGCTGGCCCAGCAGACATTCCAGATCTTCACAAAGCTCGTGAAGGTAAACAAAACAAAACCGAGTCAGAAGTTTGATTCTGTGTATGAGGTTCACATCGGACCCACCAGGATCAGTTTGGACAGTTTTGACTGTTTGTCTCTGCAGCCCTTCACCTGGATTGTCCCCGGCGTCCTGATGGGAGGAGAGAAGAGGAAGTCTGAGAAGGCCAGGTAGCATTCTGGTCTTTCCTTTTGAGTCTGCTTCTTCTAGTCTGTGTCCACTAGTCTTTCTTATCAAGTCCACAGTGTCTAGTTTATATTAGACAGCCTGATCTAGTCTCTATTATTTAGTCTACGTCATCTAGTCTTTATAGACTACGTCCTAAAGTGTTTATCATCTAGTCTATGTCCTCTAGACCAGCGGTCCCCAACACCCGTTTTATGTTTGACGACATTTAGCGGACTGGTCGCATAAACACGACAAAGTAAAAAGATCTGCATGAAAACATCCTTCCACGTGACGCGGGGCGGCGTGTTACAACCGCCTGATGTCACATCAGAGACTCGTTTCTGCCTTCAGGCTTCGTAAAGGAATCAACATCTTGGTTTCAACTCCTGGTCGGCTGGTGGATCACATCAAGAACACGCTGAGCGTCGGCTTCAGTGGCGTCCGATGGCTCGTCCTGGACGAGGCTGACCGGTAACCTTCTCCCAAGCCGTGTGTGGCCCCGCCCCCTGAAGCGTCCGCTCATTCTGTGTGTGTGTGTGTGTGTGTGTGTGTGTGTGTGTGTGTGTGTGTGTGTGTGTGTGTGTGTGTGTGTGTGTGTGTGTGTGTGTGTGTGTGTGTGTGTGTGTGTGTGTGTAGGACGTTGGACATGGGCTTTGAGAAGGACGTGACCGTCATAGTGAACCGTCTGAACAGCGCTGGTTCCAGCAGGCAGAACGTCCTGCTGTCGGCCACATTAACTCACGGTAAACAAACATCTTTTATAAAGTTAGTCTGAATGTAATTTGACTCTTTTCTCCTGTAAAAAGGGTCCACTGGTTAATGTTCAGATCAGGTTCATGTCTTCAGGGACAACTGAAGACATGAGGTTGTGCTGGACGTTGTGGGTGATTTCCAATGCGGGGATGAAATCCAGCATTGTGATTGGTTGACAGTGAGTCGCTGTATCGAGCCATGAAGTGCTAGCGTTCCATATCCGTGCGAACGACGTGCTGCTACAGTAGACGAGAAAGAAAAATAAGCAGTCAGACGACCGAGGGGCGATCGTCCGTCTGTATGCAGCAAGGACACCTGGGACGTGTCCCTCGGCGAGGCAACAACACACGGTGTCTGTCTGTCAGGCTGCTGAGATGTGACGCACAGAAGCTCTTTGACCGTCTTCTGAAGGACCAGCGTTGATCGATAACTGACACGCTACCCGCCGTGTTCCAGGTGTCACGCGGCTAGCAGACGTTTGTCTCAGCGACCCGGTCCGTATCCAGGTGTCCGGCCCTGCCTCCTCTGACCTCGTCGCCTCGGGCTCCCCTGTGACCTCTGACCCCAGCGCACCTCAATCGGAGAGCTTCGTTCTGCCCGAGGCCCTGAAGCAGTACGTGGTGGTGGTTCCCAGTAAGCTCAGACTGGTCTGCCTGGCTGCTTTCATACTGGACAAATGCAAGGTAGTAATCAATGTTCGGAATGAGAATCTCAACACGTTGCCACGGTGACCAACCGCTGTTGTTCAGTTTGCACAGGACAACAAAGTCATCGTCTTCATCTCGAGCTGCGAGGCGGTGGAGTTCCTCCACGGCCTCTTCACCTCCGTCCTCTCTGGACCGCCGGCCAATCAGAGGCCTCAGCTCAGCTTCCTGCGTCTCCACGGCAACATGAAGCAAGAGGTGAGACGGCCGTCCCAACGTTGCCCCCCCCACCGCGCCCCCCCCCATCACTGGACTCAGCATGCGCTTGTTTTCCCCACCAGGAGCGCTCGGATGTCTTCCAGCAGTTCTCAGTATCTCGGTGTGGAGTTCTGCTGTGTACGGTGAGTGTGTCCGTCGGGGGTCAGGGGTCAGGGGTCGGTGGGGTCAGCAGCTGCTTATGAATTCATGATCTACCGGCTGTAATAGTAATTAACTAATTAAAGATAATCCCATCATGGCCTTGAGTTTGACACATGCGCTCTACGTGCTACATCATGTGTTACATCCATGTTAGCATATGAATTGTTTGTTTCAGGACGTCGCAGCCAGAGGTTTGGACCTTTTTCAGGTCACCTGGATCATCCAGGTACCTACTAACTATATAACATTTATAATCATTTTGACATCTCTTTTTCCGTCGGTCGCCATCTTGGTTTCCGTCGGTCGCCATCTTGGTTTCCGTCGGTCGCCATCTTGGTTTCTGTCGGTCGCCATCTTGGTTTCTGTCGGTCGCCATCTTGGTTTCTGTCGGTCGCCATCTTGGTTTCTGTCGGTCGCCATCTTGGTTTCCGTCGGTCGCCATCTTGGTTTCTGTCGGTCGCCATCTTGGTTTCCGTCGGTCGCCATCTTGGTTTCTGTCGGTCGCCATCTTGGTTTCCGTCGGTCGCCATCTTGGTTTCTATAAGTCGCCATCTTGTGTCCTCAGTACACTCCGCCCACCACGGCAGCGGAATACGTCCATCGAGTCGGTAGGACTGCTCGTATCGGAGGAAGAGGAAGCAGTCTCCTCTTCCTCGCCCCTAGTGAGGCGGCCTTTGTCAACGAGCTGGCCAATCACAACATCAGGTTTGTTTGTCGATATCGTCACAACGTGCAAAGCACCAACCAGGTTACAGTATTCCTGCTGATCCTCCTCCTGCTCTTCTTGGGTTTCAGCCTAATGGACCTGAAGTTGCAGAACATCCTGTCCATTCTGATGCTGGATGACACCTATAAGGGGCGGGGCAAGTACCACAGCCAGGTAAGGCCAGGTCACCTGTACAGAGCTAAAGGTGCAGAGGTCACGTGACCTTGGTTTTCCATGACTCCGTTGATCCTGCGAGACGGTTCTATCATCTAAATGTAGTGCCTTGCTCAGAGGTCAAACAATCCTTTTTTATATTGACTGTGTTTAGGAGAATGTTGTGTCAAACAGTCCGTTTGTCCCCCTCCCTTCCCCTCTGTCTCCCTGTCCGTCCCCCCCACCAACACGTCCGTCTTTCAGTCCTCGTCTAAAGCCCTGGAGCAGGAGACGAGAGAGAGGGCCACGGTCCTGCAGACGGAGTTTGAGAACTTTGTCCACGCTGACCATCAGTCGGTGCAGAGGGCAAAGGGCGGTACGTGACGTCCCGCGTGGCTTCACCGGCGTTATGACTCGCTTCCTGCTTTTGACGCATGTCTCTTCTGTGTCACCAGCGCTGCAGTCCTTCTTGCGGGCGTACGCTGCTTACCCCTCCCACCTCAAACACATCTTCCACATCCAGCTCCCTCCACCTGGGCCACGCCGCCAAGAG